CCTGCATGATATTCTTGATGTCATCCCACAACTCTGCTGGTCTTCAGTCATTCTGTTCTTGAGATGGTATCTAAATCCAGATGGGAAATAACTCACGGTCATTATTTTGGCTCTGTTGGCCTTATTTTAATTTTCCTCAGCACCTGTCTGAACTTGCATATGAGCAATTGATGGCCTGTCCCAGCCAGCCCCTGGCCTTGTTTTGATTGTTTACCCATCATCTCTTCCCACAGACAGTCAGCTTGACTCCTGTGTATTCCATGTAGTGAGGTCCAAAAGTAGTCACCATTTCTGTTGTTGAAAAAAAGGTATTTGAATGAAGTCAAACATCTTGCAAAATTCTATCATGTGATCTCCAGCATCATTTCTGTCACCAAGGCCATACTTGGTGTCCTTTGTTTACAACGTCCACATTCCAATCACCAGTAATTATCAGTGCATCTTGATCGTATGCCTCATCAATTTCAGACTGAAGTTGGCAGAATTCTTCAGTTTCATTGTTAGCTTTGTGGTTGGTGTGTAAATTTGAGTAATAGTTGTATTAACTGGTCTTCCTAGTAAGTTCATACATATATCACACACAGAATTGTATTTCAAGATAGATTTTGAAATGTTTTGTGAACGATGAACGCGATGTCATTCAATTTGTCATTCCTGTCATAGTAAACCACGACTGTCCAATTTAGAATGGTCAACACCTGTCCATTTCAGGTAATGCCTAGGATATCGATCTCTATATGTTCCATTTCATTTTTGATGATTTCCAGTTTTTGTCGAGTCATACTTTGTACACAGTCCATATTGTTATTATTGACGGGTATCTGCAGTTGTTTCTTCTCATGTTGAACTGGGCACCATCAGCAAATGAAGGTCCTGAAAGCTTTGCTTCGTCCACATCATGAAGGTCAACTGTCCTTAGGAGCCTGCTGTGGTACTTAGGACAAGCACGGCTGCCAACCGCCAAGATCGGCAGTTCAAACTCATCACTTGCTCTGTGGGAGAAAAATGAGACGTTCTACTTACAGCCTTGGAAACCTTATAAGGTCGCTGAGTCAGAATTGATTTGGGGACAGGAAGAGTCTACTCTGAGGAGCTCTTCCTCAGCTGTGTTTTGAGGGTCTTCAACCTGAGGGGCTCATCTCTTGGCATTTTGTCAGTGTTCTGTGGCTATGCATGAAGTTTTCAGGGACTAAATCTCCAGAAGTGGACTGACCAGTGCCCACTCCTTCTTTCTACTCTGTAAGTTCACCATCGGTGACCCTGCTGTTTGAAACACCAGGGGCATAGCTTCCAGCATCACACAAACCACACTATGACCAACTATGGACTTCTAGAATCTTCCACATCCTCCCTTTACCAGCAAACACACACACACACACACACACACACACACACACACAGTACTTGGCAAACCACAAAGGGGCTTCCGTAAGTTCCTGGGAAAATGAAATTAAAAAAGAAAAATGGAGTCTCCCCCCCCCCCCGAATTCTCCTTCCTGGTGTGGACTAAAAGACCAAGACTAATTACCCATCTGTCTCTGCTTCCATTCATAGGCAGAGGCTGAAAGGTTCTGAGGAACAATGACTTGTTACCGTTAAGTCATTTCTACAGCACTGTGATCACCCAGCTAGCTGTTTGGGCACAAAGTATGTTTCCTGAGAAAACTAGTTTTCAAGTCTTCTGAGGCAGAGAGCACCACCCCCCATTCCAAACAGTGGTTTAGTCTCAGATATATATATATATATATGGATACATATATATATGTATGGTTTATGGTGGGAAGTGAGGATTATCATAAATATCACTGAAATCTGCATTAATAAAAATATGAAAACACTGAGCTATTGCTTCTTGGCATATCCTTCCCCCAGCTCTATACTTCTAACGGTTGTTTTCATCTAACCTCTGCGTTCCCAAATCATGTTCCTTTTCATTGCTGTGTGGTTCTTTTTGGTGTAGGGGCAGATTAGGGCCATAGGGGTTAAGGTTTCCCACCAAAATCCTCCGGACAACTCTTGCAAGTGCGTATCATGATGGGAAAACAGTGATTTAGTTCTCCCCTCCTGGCCCTTCTCCTCACCAAGTTCTTTTCAATTTTCCTAAAACTTTTTAAGCCCCTGTGAGAAAATCTATCAAGATGATCCCTTGGTAACCTCGAGAGTCACCAGAGCCCTCTGAGCTGAGCTCTGTGCCTTGAGCAGACCAGGCCCAGCAGATTATCTGGGACGCCTGGTTTGGAATGGGCCTTTGAGTTGAAGGCAGCCTGAGGAGTGAAGATCAAGTGTCCTTAACAGAGCTTGTTTGTAACCAAGGTGACTGCAAACATGTTTAACACATTGTATGTATAAACCCCGGGCACATAGGACCAGAAATCCTAGTAGCTTCGGACTCACTTTGTAAATTGCTGGCTGCCCTGGAGTCCAATGTAACCGACCCACAGGTCTCTCTGCTGGAGCTGCGGCTGGGTCCCCACCCACCTACACATCTAACACAGTTCCAAACTCCACGGAGTACCAAGGGGGACACCTGGGCACCACCAGAAGTCAAGAGGGAAACGGAGGCAGGGGCTTCTCCAAAAAAGAGAACACCAACCCAGGGTGGGGGCATCACCAGGAAAGGATCCCCTGCAACCCTCTCTCAATCCAACCTAGGGGTGGGCCCCACCCCCCAGGAGCCCAGGCTGGGGCAAGTCCTGAACTTGTTGAGTTCCATCTAGTCAGATCTGACTCCTAACTATGCTGTATAGATCCAAGGAGTGGCTGGTGGGTTTGAACAGTCAACTTGGCAGCTGAGCTGCTCCTACCATCCCTGTGGGGGCTCAGCTCTGGCCTTGGGGAATTCCAGTGGGGTTGAATTGGAGACGTGTGTTGTTGATATCTTGGTGTGTGTAGAAGCAACTAAGGCAAGGTGCTGGATGTGGGTATGAGTGGTAACCAGTCCCTAGGGGTTCATAAGGCTTCTTTCTACTAGGGGGACAGAAGCCACCCAACAGGCTGAGCTCACATTTGGGCTCTGGTTGAGGGGCCTTTTGGTTGTAAGCCAGGTGCAAAGAGGCCACCCTCAGGACACCTGGGACCAGAGACCATCAGTGTAAGGCAGGACAAGACAGGGCAAGGCAGTGTGGCACCGAGATTGGCCCAGCCCCTTGGTCCCTGGGTAGTACAGTCCATTTATGATCAGCCACTAATCTCAAGATAGGAGCTCTGGTAGCGTAGTGGTTACGAATTGGGCTGCGAACCTTAAGGTCAGCGGTTCGAAACTACCAGCTGCTCCGCGGGAGAAAGATGAGGCTTTCTACTCCCATAAAGATTTACACCCTCGGAAACCCTGTACAGGGTTGCTATGGGTCGGAACCGACTCGACGGCACTTAACAACAACAACAACTACTAATCTCAAGGTTGATGGTTCAAACCCATCCAGTGACAAAACAGAAGAAAGAGCTGGCAATCTGTTCTGTGATGACTGTCGACTGTCGGCTGCGACCAAGTCAGTTCCAACTCAGAGTGGCCCTGTGTGTGTCAGAACGGAACAGAGCTTTTACAGGCAAGACTGCCAGATGGACCTTTTCAGGCACCAATGGGTGGGTAGGAACAGACAATTTGTGGGGAAGTCAGCCAGCAGCACCACAGGAGAAAGATGAGGCCTTCTGATCCTGCCAAGACCTGTAGCTTGGGAAACTCTCTGCAGGGGGCTGTGAATCGGCGCTGATTTAAGTGCATTGCACGAGGGCTCCTTCACACAGCACACGTCAAGACCCTAGAGATGATGTCACGAGTTCCGGTGGGCCACAAGAGATGCCATGGGAATGGGTCTGGGTTTTGGTTAGTGGGGTAAGACAGGCTAGCAGAGGCCGCTCTGAAACACAGACAAAACATCTGGGTGGAGGTCACCCCCCCCACACACAGCATGGGGGAAGCAGCCCCCATCCACCCACAGGGACACGCAGAGGGTGGTACGTCTGGGGTGACAGAAACAAAAGGCAGGAGGTGTCTGGGAATTTGGCCAGGCCTGGGAGTATCAGTACCTACAAATCTGACAGTTCTATGGACTCCCGGGAGGGAATTAAGTGGCGTTCTAGGGTGGACGTCGGGGGTCTGTGTGCAGAGAACAGCATGGCAAATTTGGAGTCTGAGCAAAGAATTTTGTGGGATGTCCTGGGGTTAACTTGTGGGGGTGTGGCTCAACGTTCACAGTGCGGTCCCTTTCCTGTTCTGGGAAACCCTACCCTTGTTCACCCCTTAAGACCCGTCAAACCAAGAAGACAAGCCTCTCAATGCCTCTACAACAAGACCTGTGCCCAGACAGCTGCCCGGCTGCCTGGCTCTTTGCCAAGTCCAGTGGTTTCCAGAGCAGAGGTGGCGGGGTGCAGGTTTACAGCGGACATTCTCACATGACATTTAATAACCTGGGAGATCGCGATAAAATGTACCCACATTCAGCTCTAGAAATAGCAAGAGACACGAGACTTTTATACAAAAACATTTGTTGCTTACAAAACATATGCCAAAAAAAAAAAAAAAGCTTAAAAAAAAAAGAGACCAAAGGCAACAGCCTTGCTAATTTTCTTCTACATTTAAAAAAAAAAAAAAAAAAATTCGTAACTAATGTTCTTTTTTATTCTCCTTAAAAAAACTATGATGCGTAGGCACAATTTGCTGGTGGCTCTCAGGACAAGCCAGGTCGGCCCGCGCCTCTTTCCAGGCCATTGGTAGGTCTGACTCCTCTGCGCGGGGTCACTTAAGGCATTTTCTTTTTCCTTCTTTACGGACAGAGTACGTATTTTCTGGCGTGCTTTTTTTTCTCTTCCGTGCCCCCCCCCAACTCTCTCATTTCAAAAAAAAAAAAATAATAAAGAAAAAATGCTTCTTTCGGCCCTGGGTGAGGAGGGCAGGGACTGAGATGTATTCAGGGTCATCCGGCTGGGACCTGAAAGGGACGCTGGTGAGAGGCTGGGACGGGGGGCCACGCGAGCCTGGTGGGGGCAGGAGTGTGACCAAGCCCACCATACCTCACATGTGCCCAGCGGGGTTGTGGGCCTCACTCAGGCCCGGGTGGGCAGCCGACAGCACCATCTGAGGCTCCCCGACCACACCAGACACTTTCTCCTCCTCGCGGCGTTTCAGGCAGGCTGCTTTGGGGTTCAGGTTGCGTTCTATGGGTAAGGGGAAAGCCGGGTGGGAGAGGGTCCCTGCGAGTGGGAGTCTAGGGTGGTAGAGGGAAGGGGGTGTTGGGGACAGACAACAGGGGTTCCCACACAGCTGGCCGCTTCTCTGTCGACTCCTTCAACAGGCGTGGGGGTAGCAGGGTATGAGGGGTTGAGGGCAGAGAAGAACAGAGGGGTCCACACGGGGCTGGCCAGACACGGACAGGAAGCAGCTCGGAGCGGGCGGGGCCGGGAGCGTACCTCGCACCTGCTGCTCCAGGCCCAGGATGACCTGCACGGCCTGCTGCAGGATCAGCAGCTTGGTCTGCGCCTTGTCCGACTTGAGGTGCAGCTGGCACATGCGGCCCAGCTCCCGGAAGGCCTCGTTAATGTCCCGCACGCGCACCCGCTCCCTCGCGTTATTGGCCATGCGCCTCTCCCGGTCCCTCAGGTCTTTCTCCTCCAGGGACAGCACCTCGTCCACACTGCTGGGTGCACAGCACCGGGACCGTCAGTCAGGGCGCGTGTGTCAGCGTGATGGTCAGTGTGGGGACGTGGTGTCCATGTTGGTGATGGCTAGTGTGGGGATGTGGTGTCCATGTTGGTGACGGTCAGTGTGAGGACGTGGTGTCCACGTTGGTGATAAATCAGTGTGGGATGTGGTGTCCATGTTGGTGATGGTCAGTGTGGGGATGTGGTGTCCATGTTAGTGATAGTCAGTGAGGACGTGGTGTCCGTGTTGGTGATAAATCAGTGTGGGGACGTGGTGTCCACGTTGGTGATAAATCAGTGTGGGGACGTGGTGTCCGTGTTGGTGATAAATCAGTGTGGGGATGTGGTGTCCATGTTGGTGATGGTCAGTGTGGGGACGTTGTGTCTGTGTTGGTGATAAATCAGTGTAAGGACGTGGTGTCCATGTTGGTGATGGTCAGTGTGGGAACGTGGTGTCCATGTTGGTGATGGTCAGAGTGAGGACATGGTGTCCATGTTGGTGATAAATCAGTGTGAGGATGTGGTATCTGTGTTGGTGATGGTCAGTGTGAGGACGTGGTGTCCATGTTGGTGATGGTCAGTGTGAGGACGTGGTGTCCATGTTGGTGATGGTCAGTGTGGGGATGTGGTATCCATGTTGGTGATAAAAATCAATGTGAGGACGTGGTGTCCGTGTTTGTGGTGTGCCAACAAGAAGGGCCAAGGATGGGTTGTTCCCCCGGAATGTGAAGGGAGGGCTCGTGGCTCCTGGCTCAGGCTGTGTGTCTATATCCCTGTGGCCCTCTCTCTCCTGGAAGGACGGCCTTCCCCAGCACAGCAGCCCCTACTACGTTAACGCAGCCTGGGATCTGGGCAGAGGCCAGTCCTCCACACATCGCAGTCCCAGGAACGAGCTGGCCCTTTAGCGCTTTCTATAAAACCTGGCTGCTGCCCATCGTCCCAGAGGGTCAGGCCCCGGGCTATCTCACTGTTGACAACAGTCCCTGGAACAGTTGTAGGCATGGAGCTGAGACTGCGGCCCTGCATGTCATGGCTCTGGTCTGTCACTCTGTTGTTTTATGCCTCGGAGGAATGAAGACACCTCCAGGCTCACTGGGTTGTTGAAAAACCAACCCAGATGGTGAAGAGCATGAGCCGGGTAGGTTTCCTATACCTGCCTGTCTGCCCTGGGGGGTGCTGCCCACCCCCAGTCGCAGGCCAGAGCGGGGTCCTCCAGGTGATGCGACCCCTGAGCCCTGACAAGCGTACAGACCAAACTGCCGGTGCAGACCAAGGCGGGCTGGCCCCTGTGCCTTCCATCTTCCAAGTCCCCGTGGGGGGATTTGGGGGACGGGAGGCTGGAGACCGAGGCCCCATTGGGTGGTCCCTGAGCTCGGGCAGCAAGTGCGAGGTAGGGAGGGACTCAGGTAGGGGATGGGGGCAGGAGCGCAAGAAACAGAGAGCAGAGTGGTGGGGGTGGGAAGGGGGGAGACGCATGACATGACCCCCCCACGTGGAGACACGAAAGCCTCAGAGTGAGGCGATAGCCAGGGGCCGAGGCCCCAGGTCCGGTCCAAGCAACAGCACTGCAGGAGAGAAAGGGTTAGCGGGCAGCAGAGAGGAGCAGGGAAGGAAGGAAGCAGCTGGCGCGGGAGCGAGCGAGCGAGCGAGCGGGGCGCACGGAGTCAGGGCGGGGGTGCGGCCCCCACTGACCTCGCACTTGCTGCTCCAGGTTCAGGATAACCGACACAGCCTGGTGCAGGATCAGCAGTTTGGTTTGGGGCTTCTCACTGTTGAGGTGGAGTTGGCACATACGGCCCAGCTCCTTAAAGGCCTCATTGATGTCGCGCACCCGCAGCCGCTCCCGCGCGTTATTGGCCACGCGACGCTCCTTCTCCCGCTCGGCCTTCTGCTCGGGAGGGAGAAGGTCGTCCTCGTCCTCCTCTGGGCTACGGGGGAGGGGGCCGGGGGCCAGAGGGAGAGCGTGAGGTGGAGGGGCGAGGCGAGGGGGCCCCTGGCCGCCGCCCGGGCCGGGCGTGAGCATGTGTGAGAGTACCGGGGTACGGGGCCGCGTGTGTGCGCAGGGGGCTGGCACCTGGTCCGGGTCCGGGGGGGCTTCAGCTCCTTCTTCTCCTCCTCAGACTTATCGGCCACCGAGGCATCCTCTTCGTCCTCTTTCTCCTCCCGTTTTATCTCCCCGCCTGCAAAGTGTCGGGGTTCAGGGCTGGCGGAGGTGACAGCCTCTATCCACCTCGGGAGGGACACCAGCTCGCCAGGGAAATCGTGTTTGTTACAGAACCGGAATTCAAGGGAGCTGATGCTGTGGGTCAGCAAGGGCTCTCCACCTCTGCTATACCGGGTCATGACAGGTGGGAACCCACACCACAATATTAACGTCACAACAGGCAGAGAGAGGGAAGGACTCGTGACGGCATGGACACAGGGTGGCCCTGAGTCTGAAGCGACTGGACAGCATCTAACTGGACACCAGGAGCCCTAGTGGCCTGACAGTGAACTGCAGAGACAAGATGGCGGCAGCCAACATCAACCGAAGCCGCTCGGGCAGAGAAGGCAAACCACCCAGTCGTCCCCTGCTGGTGACAGGGTGCACTCCTCACACTGGAGACCTGACTTCACCGGGAGCAAGCTCTAGGGATCCTGGTGGTGCAACCATTGAGCGCTTGGGTGCTGTCCTCAGGGTCGGAGCTTTGAACTCCACCACCCAGTGGCTCCATGGGAGAAAGTCTGGGTGATCTGCTTCTAAACCTCAGCCAAGGAAACCGTCTGGGGCCGTTCTACTGTCACAGAGACCCCGGGGCAGCACCCGCCGACCACAAGTCCGTCACACAAAGCCCGATGATGGCCACTCCGTCAAGATATAATCCCCTAAGACTGTAGGCGTCTCCCAACCCCCGCCATCGTGACCAAGGCCGCTGGGGGCAGAGATGCCCCGGGATGAGGAGCCCTGTGGTGAATGCAAGGATGGGTGATACCAGGAGCTGGGCAGGTGGGCTCTAGAGGTCAAGAGAGCGGTGACCTGAGAGAAGGTTCCAGGGCGGCTGCAGAAGCTCCAAGGGGAATGCACGAGCTGCTCTGCATGTGTGTGTGGTGCATGTGTGTGTGTGGGGTCTTTAAAAGGGGGCAGGGGCGTCCAGAGGTCAGGCTAGAATCGGACCTAGAAATGTCAGGGCAGTAGTATATGAGAGATGGGAAGACGGGCCCAGACAGACGGGAGGGTACCAGCTGGGGTCACTTGAACGCATGTCACCACCTGTCCTTGGATTTTCACAAGACTGATGTAGGGGACGGTGCTGGCCCGCTGCTCACCCGAGCAGCACCTCTCCCTGCACTGTGCCCTTGAGAAAGAGCCCAGAGGATGGCCAGCCCTGCTCACAATGGGACCCCCAGTCCCTAGCTCCGGTGGACCTAGCAGAGCCTCCCTGGACCCTCCCCACCAAGACATCTCCCTCCAGTGCCATCCCCAAGCCTAACCTAGACCTAACCCCACCCCTAACCGCACTCTGAAATTTGACCGAATCCTGAGCTAAACCCACCCTTTTACCACTCAGTCAGTCACACTGTGGTGGCTTGTACGTTGCTGGTGATTCTGGAAGCTATGCTACTGTATGTTACTGTAAACCCCAGCAGGATCACCCAAGGAGTCCAGGTGTGACATTGTGGGGTAAAGCACTGCGTCACAAGGTCAGTTTGTCTGAGTCTGGAAGCTCAGCTGAAACTTGTCCACCTTTTTTGTTGTTGTTAAGCTCTGCTGAGTAGGTTCTGACTCATAGTGACCCTGTATAGGGGTTCTAAGGAGTGGCTGGTGGGTCTGAACTTCCAACCTTGTGTCTATAGTCCAGTTCTGATCCTATAATGACAAACCGGAAGTCTATACTAGAATGTACTGCTATTGGCCATTCTGAATCTGAAAATCATATCGTTTACTATGTATGGCAGGAATGATAAATTGAAGAGGAATGGTGTTGAATTCATCATAAAAAAGAACCTATGAAGATCTGCCTTAAAGTAAAATGCAGTCTATAATAGGGAAATATCCATACACCTATAAGGAAGACCAGTAAATACAACTATTATTTAAATTTATGCACCAACCATTAGAGTCAGCTATGATGAAATTCAAGAATTCTACCAACTTCTTTAGTCTGAAATTGATCAAAACATGCAATCAAGACATATTGATAATCACTGGTGATTGGAATGCAAAGGATGGAAACAAAGAGGAAGGATCAGTAGTTGGAAAATATGGCGTTGGTGATAGAAATGATGCTGGAGACCACATGACAGTATTTTTTAAGACCAATGACTTTATCACTACAAATATCTTTTTTAAACAACATAAAAGACAGCTATACACATGGACCTCACCAGATGGAATACAAAGAAATCAAATTAACTCCATCTGTGGAAAGAGATGGTGGAAAAGCTCCGTATCATCCACCGAAACAAAGCCAGGGGCAAACTGTGGAACAGATCATCAATTGCTCATATGCAAGTTCAGACTGAAGCTGAAGAAAATTAAACCAAGTTCATGAAAGCCAAAATATGACCTTGAACATATCCCACCTGAATTTAGAGATCACCTAAAGAACAGATTTGATGCATTACACACTAACGCCCAAAGATCAGAAGAGTTGTGGGATGACATCAAAAACAGCATACATCAAGACAAGAGTGAAGAAAAAGGCCAAAATGGATGTCAGAAGAGACTCTGAAACATGTTCTTCACGATAATATAGAATCATTAATATTGCATGCAAGTAAACTTTTGCTAAAGATAATTCAAAACCAGCTGCAACAGAACATTGACAGGGGATTGTCAGAGCTTCAAGCTGGATATAGACGAGGTGTAGAATGAGGGATATCATTGTTGATGTCATATGGATCTTGGCTGAAAGCAGAAAATACCAAAGACATGTTGACTGTGCTTTACTAACTGTGCAAAGCCTTTCAATTTCAATTGTGTGGATCATGACAAGCTATGGGCAAACTGCAAAGAATGAGTATTCTGGGTCACTTAATTGTGCTCATGAGGAATCTGTACAAAGACCAAGAGGCAGTTATATGAAACAGAACAAGGAAACACTGAATGGTTTAAAATTAGCAAAGATGTGCGTATGGGTTGTATTCTTTCACCATACTTATTCAACCTGTAGGGAGAGCAAACAATTTGAGAAACTGAACTATAAGAAGAAAAATGTGGCATCAGGATTGGAGGAAGACTCATAACAACCTGACATATGCAGATGATACAACCTTGCTTGCTGAAAGTGAAGAGGACTTAAAATACTTACTGATGAAGATCAAAGAGCACAGCCTTCGGTATGGGTTGCACCTCAATGTCAAGAAAACAAAAATCTTCACCACTGGACCAATAAATAATATCAAGATAAGTGGAGAAAAGATTGAAGTTGTCAAAGACTTCATTTTGCTTGGATCAACCATCAACATTCATGAAAGCCACAGTCTAAATCAAATGACGTATTGCATTAGGCAAATCTGCTGCACAAGACCTCTTTAAGATGTCAGTGTAACTTAGGACTAAAGTGTACCTGACTCAAGTCATGATATTTTCATTAACCTCATATGCATGCAAGGAGCTGTGGTAGCGTAGTGGTTATGAATTGGGCTGCAAAGCTTAAGGTCAGCATTTGAAACTACCAGCTGTTCTGCTGGAGAAAGATGAGGCTTTCTGCTCCTATAAAGATTTACAGCTTCGGAAACCCTGTACAGGGTCGCTATGAGTCGGAACTGACTCCATGGCACATCACCACCATAGGCATGCAAAAGCTGGATAGTGAATAAAGAAGACTGTAGAATTGATGCGTTCGGGTTGTGGTGTTGGAGGAGAATCTTGAAAGTGCCGTGGGCTGCCAGAAGAACCAACAGATCTGTGTTGGAAGAAGTGCAGCCAGAGTGCTCCTTGGAGGCCAGGATGGTGAGACATCCTCTCTCATACTTCAGACACAGTATCAGGAGGGACCAGTCCTTGGAGGAGGACACCACACTCGGTAAAGTGGAGGGTCAGTGAAAAAGCAGCAGACCCCAATGAAATGGATTAGCACAGTGGCAGTAACCATGGGTTCAAGTGTAGCAACAATTGTGAGACTGGTGCAGAACGGGGCAGCAGGGGGCCATAAGGAGCCCCTTACTCCTAAGTCTGTTCTAACCCTTACCTAGACCTAACACCACCTACACCTAGCCCAATAGTCCTTTTCCCACCTGAACCCCAGCTATCCCAAACCCTGTCCTGTCTCACCCTCATCGACTTCCCAACACGGAGTCATTCCCTCTAAACCCTCAGGACATCTCCCTCCTTTTCAGCTGTCCCCTGGAGATCACCACGATTTTACCCACTGCCAGGAGTCCGTGGTCACCCGACCCTCGCATCACCAGTCTCAGTGCCCAGCTCTGTCCTTGGGGAAGGCCCAGGCCCCCTCTGCAATGCTCGCATTCACACCCCCGCACTTAACTCATGACTTGTCTGCTCTTGGGAGCCATCTCAGATGTGATAGTCCGCAGACCACCCCGACACTGCTTATCCCTGCAGCCTCGTAGCAGCCCTTGTTTGCTCTCTCTCCCAGCTCCCTCTCACCCCAAGCTTCATGCCACTGGGCTCTTTATGACATTAGACAGAAAACTCCAGGCGGTGAGCTCATGTTCATGGGAAGAAACAGCCAGGAAAAGGAGACTGAGAACACTTGCTCCAAGAACGTTCCCAATGGCGCTGAACTGGACTTGGAGAAATGCTGAATGGGAGCTATGTTCAGCTGTGTATATATTTACAACACACACATTAAGAACCCTTCACGTCCGCCCCCGCCCCCACCAGCGCAGTCGCCTCCTCTGCTCTCCCTGCAGCCACCAGAGGGCGCCTGTGAGCACCCTCCAAAGACCATGGATTCGCCTGCCCGGTCACAGGTACACCCACCTTGGGGCTTCTCCTGCTGGCCTCAGGCTGGGCTCGTGTCTCCTTGGCACCTCCCTAGCCTCTTCCCACACTGCACACATTTCCAACATGCCCCTATCCTCCACCGCCCCTGCCTAGCGCGCCCGCTGCTCTCACCACTGTAGGAGTCGGGTGGCCTCGAGAGGTCAGGGAGGGTGCTGGGCTGACTGGGGAGAGCCACGTGGTTGTGCAGCAAGCTGGCGCTGCCCGAGAGGCCATCGTCCCCGTGGCTGCCTCCAACCTGCGTGGAGTAGGCACAGCGTCAGCGTCAGCTCTGGCTGGGTCCGGGTGGGGGCCGTGAACCCACCCGCCTCCTGCCGCTCCTCCCAGCGCTCACCAGGCTGCTATGCCGGCTGCCCATGGGCAAGACGGGAGCGGTGAAGCTGGAGGCCAGTGCGCCAGGGCCGGACAGCATCCCGTGGAGGTCACTGGCCGTGCCCACGGCGTAGCTTCGCAGCACGTGGATGGCCTCGTCCAAGTGGTCCTCCAGCTTGCTTTGCTGCAGGAAGGGTAGTGAGGGTTGAGCCGGGCCCCGGGACCTCTCGGCCCATGAGCATCGTAAGACACCTATCTTCCCACTGCTTCCCGTGACTGGACGCCACAGTACCGAGCCTGCTCGGAGAACTGTGTCCATGCACGAACCCCTGGCCCCGCAGGCAGACACACCCTCTCCAGCTGAACTTCCCCCACCTCCTGCCTGAGGAGGTCCAGAGGTCTGCGGGAAGGGGGCGCGCACAACTTACCAGGCCGTGGAGACCCCCTTCATAGCTGGGTGATAAGGCACCGGAGGCCCCTGTTCGGGGCCACTGAGAGCTTCCTATGGGGGGGGTGGGGCGTGTGGACAGGGGTATGAGAGGGAGGGGCAAGCTGGGACAGGCCACGCCCACCCTGGGCCCCTTCTGGACAGACCCTGCCCCACTCTGAGCTGGTAAGATATTGGCTTGCCAGAGGCCTGCAATACCCAGCTTGGCCACACAAGGGCGCTGGGAAGCTGCAAAGCTGTTTTCAGGGCAGGTACAGAGAACTCAGCTCACATACATACAGCCTCGTCCACCAGGCTTCTACAGCTCCTGGGGACCTTCCAGAAGCCCCTGACAGCCCAGCCTCCTGGTCCCTCTCTTCAGACCCCAGGGCACCTCTGCGATCTCAGGGTATACAGTTGGTGCCAAGTGATCAGCCATGGCGTGAATGTTACTGTGCGTGTCTAGGCTTTGCTGCTCCGGCCCCACCCACACTGAGGGGATGGGGGTGCACCTCCCATTGTCCCAGCCTCTGCCCAGTCCTCCTCCCCCAAACCCCAGCCCCTCACAGACCTGCCAAGCCCTGCGGGGAGCCCACGGGGGTGGAAGGGCTGGAGGAGAAGTTGTTACTTGAGTGATCCGGGGAGTAAATCTGTGGACAGCCATAGGAGGTCAGAGGTCAGGGGTCAGCCCTGCTGCTTCCCACCCCATGGCCCAGCCAGCCCACCTCCCACTCCTCACCGAGGCCAGCGCCTTGCCGAGTGCATCCCCGGAGCTGCCAGCCGCGGTCCCTCGTGAGCCTGTGTGGAGAGAGGTGAGGCCCAACCTCAGGGCTGTGCCACAGCTGACGGGGTGTGTGGGGAGCTCAGGCCCTGACTCCAGCTGGTCTGACTTGTGGGGAGAATGATCCCGATGGAATCTAGCTCTCTGCATCCATGGATGGGGCCCTGCGTGCTGAAGACTCTGTCCTCAGACCTGGTCCTGAGGGGCCTGAGCTAAGAGCGTGGGTGGGCCCAGGGCAGCAGCCATGGTAACCATACAGCTTGGCTCCAGGGGCCCACAACCGTCCCCCAGGGCAGGCCGCTGGCCATGGCAGTTCCTTGGACAGGCGTGAGGTGGTGGGCCGTACCCAGGAGGCTGTCGGCCCCGCTGACAGGGGGTGTGTGGCTGGGGACGCTGCTGTACGAGGCTCCAGGGGCTGAGGAGAAGCTGGACACAGCTGGCAGCCCACCATTGACCTCAGCGCCGTGCAGCGGGTAGCCCTGTTGGGGGTGGGGGAGGTGGGTCAGGGCTATGAGACTGGATAAAGGGGTTCCCCCACCCCCTCCCTATGGAGGGTACTAGTACCATGCGCTCATGCTGGTGTAGACCACCAAAGGCACCACCGCCTGAGGAGCCGCTGCCCCCCGGTGCGAGGGGCAGTGGGGATGAGCCCCCTCCGAGCATGGGCCCGAAGCCCGCTTGGCCTGGGGGACCCCAGAGCTCGGGTGAGGGGTGCAGGCTGCCATCTGTGGAGAATGGGATGAGCAAGTGTGGGGTGGGGATCCGGAACCTGACCCCAAGCCCCGTGCCCCGTCAGGGCCCCCACGCACCAGCCACATAGAAGGGGGCAGGGTAGGTGCTGCCAGGGGTCTTGGCAGCTGGGTAGGCGGTGCTGTCTCTGCCGTAGTCTTCACCTGAGCTTGTGGGGTACACCTGGGGAGCAAGGGGACAGAGATCATGTGGAAGGCTCACATGAGGCCCAGTGCTGCTCCCCATCTCCGATAAAGCCCCCCCCCCACAATCCTGCTCTCCCCCTCAGGTAAAGCCCCCCCCCCCCATGTCCTACTCTCCCCCTCAGGTAAAGCTCCCCGCCGCCCACGTCCAGCTCTCCCCCTCAGGTAAAGCTCCCCCCCATGTCCTGCTCTCCCCCCTCAGGTAAAACCCCAGCCCTTGGCTGACAGTTTCCACTGTTCCTTCTTCACTCCCCACCCTCTAAGGTGTACCACCCTCTCCTGTTTCCGGAAGCTTCCCCCAGCCCTCCAGGAATGCCTTTTCCCCCCAACATCCAATACAATGCAACCAATTCCTACTCTACCAACCAGACCATTGCAGCTTGAGACCCAGTGCCCTCCGCCCTCCTTTCTCATCCCCCCCTCTGGGGGGCGGGAACACAGGGGTGAGACAGGGCCAGAGGCACAGTGACTTGTGGAGGCTTTAAACGACTCGAACCCCGGGCCCCCCTGAGAGTCTGCCCAGTCTGTGGGTCAGGGCTCAGTGTGAGGGCCTAGCAAGTTGACTTTCCTTCCAGCAGAACTGGATTGTGGGAATGTGGCAGCTCGCCCCAAGTGTGAGAACAGGACAGCTGTGGTGGGCTCTGTGCACACTTCCAGGGCTCCCCTTGCCCACTACGGCTCCTGGGACCCTCACCCCCACCCTTTCAAAGACATGACACCACCTTAAAGCATGAGGGATCAAGGTTAGACGTACTAAAGAACTTCCCTGATGGCCCCTGACAGGTAGGGTCAAGTGCAGACCAGCTAAGGACATGGGGGTGTCTCCCAACACCCAGGGCCCTGGGGTGTCATATGACTGGTGGGGGTGGGGCTCACCGAGGACGGGAGCCCTGGAGGGACCTTCCGGACCTTCTTGGGCTGCGCATCTGTTGGGAAGGAGAGAGGTGAGCAGGCGGGTCCCTACCGGAGCACACAGGCCCACAGCGGCCCCGGACCCCTCTGACGAGCAGCGACACACGTAAAGACTTGGGTCCATCCCTGTGGACTGTACCCGTGAGGGGTGGTCTGTCGAGGCTGTGGCTTCAGATAAGAGTCTCATCGCCTCCATCCCCACCTCTACCGTGTCTGTGGGCTCAGTCCACCTGGTGTTTGCTGTGACCCCAGAGTCCAGCCAAGTCCAGGAAGGGATCCAGTGGGCCAGTGCTAACGCCGGTCCCCTAGGCTCCCTGCCCACTCTCGACCCACTCACCCAGGCTGCCGCCGTCCGCAGGCCTCCGCCGGGGGTTGCCAGGGTATGAGGGGTAGAACTGGGCACTGCCTTTGACACCTGAGGGGGACAGTGGCCCGGGGCTGCTGAGGGCCAGCTCGCCCGGCAGGAAGGTGGCCTGAAAGGAAGAGGGACAAATCACAGTGAGGAACAATGGTGCCAAGCAAACCAGCCAGCGCAGCTGGTCTCCCTGAGCGCCTGCTATTCTCAGCAGGAAAAGGCCTCAGACAAGCAAGCTGCCCCCAGCCCCGAGCCGGTGACAGTGTGCTTCCAAGCGGAGGAGAGCGGGCTGCTTTGCACCTCGTGCCTTTCAGTCAGCCAATGAATCCCACCAGCCACTCCTCGGAAACCCTCTATTGGGTGGCTATGGGTCGGAGCTAACTCAAAGGCTCTAACAAGAAGAAGTTTGAACACAAGGACCCCCAGTGGCGCAGCAGGTTAAGTGCTGGGCTGTTAATCAGCCGGTCAGGCTGTGTACTCCAGAGAAACCGGAGTCTCAGAAGCCCCGTGGATCCAGCCAGCGGCTTTACTTGAATGAGGTCTCGCCCATGGCCTCGTTCCCACGTGGGGGGGGATGTGACTGAGGCCGCTTCTGCCAAGCTCTGGCCACCCCACCCCGCTGGCTCGTCACAGCCGCCCCCGTCTGATACTGTGGCTCAGGACACTGACACAAACGGGGAGACGGGCAAGGCTGTCATGGGCTGGGGCCTCCCTGGGCAGGAACAAAGTGGCCGCACCTGAGTCCCTCCAGCTCCTCCTGATAGTCACAGGTATGGTCGGTGACCTCCCCCAGTCTAGCTGGCCCCTCACCGTCAGCCCAGCCTGGCCCAGGACCTGTTTGTTCTGTTTCAGCCGCTAGCGCTCGCCCGACCAAAGAAGCTTCCCCAGATCCCGAAGAAACTGGGACCAACTTGTTTGAAACGGGACAGACAGAGGTGTCATCCGCAGAGCAGCATACCACCCAGTCCCGCTGTCCTTGTGGTCCAGGCCCTCTGAGCCCTCACCTGACTCAAGCCACCAACACCAGCATCTCTCCCGAAGGCGGCGTAGGTGACCCGCTCACTGCCTTTACCTGGAGGGAAGAGACAGTCTGTCACTTGGAGCCAGCCCCAAGGGTCCACACACCACAGGAGATACTAGGTTTGTACACGGCCGGCAGACACTCCGTGAGCCCCTGTGGCTACGAGACGGGCAGTAGGGTACAGGGAGGTGTATGGGCTGAGCTTTCCCAGTGACAGGGATGAGGACCCTGGTACACATACACATTCAGCGAGCCCAGAGAAACCGAAACCATGACCGCTGACCGACTCCCCAACCCTGACTTCCAAGCCTGGGGTTCATGCATTCAGGGTCCCAGGTACTGATGCTACTGAGGCACAGGGCTCACATGAGGCACTGTCCCTGAAAGCACACCCGAGGTCCCATCACACCCAGCTTCGGCTTGCTTTAGCCACCAGGGTTCTATCAGCACAAACCCCACCCCCAGCTTTAGGCCAGTGAGGAATTCACCAAGGATGGGATATTCTTTCCCACTACTTAAAGGAGTCCAAAAGGACGTCAGAAGAGACTCTGAAACGTGCTCTCCAGCGTAGAGATGCTAAAGCAAATGGAGGAAACGAGGAGGTCCAAGAGCTGAACAGAAAAATTTAAAAGGCAGCTTGAGAAGACAAAATCAAATATTATAATGAAATGTACAAAGACCTAGAGTAAGAAAACCAAAAGGGAAGAACACGCTCAGCATTTCTTAAGCTGACAGAAATGAAGAAAAAATTCAAGTCCTGACTTGATTCGCAATATGGCAGAATTCTACGGACAAAATATTGATTGATGCAGAAAGTTCAAAAGAAGATGGAAGGAATACAGAGTGACTGTATCAAAGAAATGTTCAAAGTTCAATCGTTTCAAAAGGTAGCATGTGATCAAGAGCCAAAGATACTGAAGGAGGAAGTCCAAGGGATGTTGAAGTCATTGGCAAAGAACAAGGCACCAGGAATTGATGGAATACAAATTGAAATCTTCAACAAAGTGAGGCGGCACAGGAGGCACTCACTCAACTCTGCCAAGAAATTTGGAAGACAACTATCTGGCCAACTGACTGGAAGAGATCCGTATTTGTGCCCATTCCAAAGAGAGGTGACCCAACAGAATAAGGATATCGTAGGACAATCTCTTTGATATCTCAAGTAAGTAAAGTTTTAATTAAAGGTAATACAGAAACGGCTACAATCATACATTGACAGAGAACTTCCAGAGGTTCAAGCTGGATTCGGAAGAGGCCATGGAACGAGGGATATCATTGCTGATGTCCGATGGATCTTGGCTGAGAGCAGAGACTATCAGAAAGATGTTTACTTGTGCTTTATTGACTATGCAAAGGCTTTCGATTGTGTGGATCATGACAAGCTATGGACACCACTGCAGAGAATGAGTATTCTGGAACACTTAACTGTGCTCATGAAGAATCTGTACGTAGGTCCAAGAGGCAGCTGTTGGAACAGAACAAGGAAACACTGACTAGGTTAAGAACTGACTAGGACAGGTGTGCATGAGGATTGCATTGTTTTCACCATAGTTATTAATTAATCTGCAGGCTGAGGAAATATCCCAAGAAGGTGAATTAAATGAAGAAAAACATGGCATCAGGATTGGCAGAAGTCTCATTATCAACCTGGGATACGCAGATGATATAACCTTGCTTGCTGAAAGCAGAGAGAACTTAAAATACTCACTGGTGGAGATCAAAGACCACAGCCTTCAGGAATGGTTGTACTCCAATGTAAAGAAAAGTCCTCACCAGTGGACCAATAAACAACCATCCAAGCCATGGTCTTTTCAATCTCCTCCTATGCATGTGACAATTGGATAGAGAATTAGGAAGACCGTAGAAGAATTGATGCATTAAGTCATGGTGTTGGAGGAGAATACTGAAAGTACCACGGACTTCCAGAAGAACAAACACATCTGTGTCGGAAGAAGTACAACCAGAAAGCTCCTTAGAAGCCAGGATGGCCAGATTTCGTCTCATACTTCAGACAGGAGGGAGCAGTCGCTGGAGAAGGATATCATGTTTGGTAAAGTGGAGGGTTAGAGAAAAAGAGGAAGACCCCCAGCGAGACGGACTGACCCAGTGTTGGCAGCAGGGCTTCAGCGTAATAACTACGGGGAGGCTACTGCAGGAGTGGGCAGTGTTTTGTTCTATTGTGCATTGGTTCGCTGTGAGTTGGAACCAATTCGAGGGCACCTGACAACTACTCAGTGACGAAGGTCTCTTCCAGAGTGGGCAGGGGAGGACGGGGGTGAGGACAGTCTGCCGGAAAGGCTAACTTGCTGCTTCCCAGAGGCCTGCACTGACCCTTGTCTGAAACACGATCTCTGGGTTACTTACTCGGCACCTGGCCCACCAAGCCCCTTTTTCGCTGAAACGGGGATCTCAGCTAAGCTTGGACCATCAGCCTCCTTGCTGAGTGTCAGGAAATCTGAAAGCTCGGTTGTCAGTTTATATATATAAAAAAAGTTCAACTAGCTGGCTGGCCCCTGTTCCCGAGCTCTTCACTGGCAGGTACAGCTGGGTGCTGGGTGGCCGTGGAACTTCCTCGTCAGCCCTGCCTGTACCATAAGGAAGGAAGGAAGAGCAGAGGGGAAGCTGGAGTGCTGGCAGGAGTGGCACTCGGAAGACTGGGGGGCCGTGCACATCCCTCATCTGGAGAACAGGCATGAAGCTCCTGCTGACTCACAGTGAGCACTCAGACCCCGGCGGTCTACGGGTGTGAGTCACTCAGGCCCAAACACTTGTGAGTGTCTCCCGTGGGGTCCACTCCAGCGTCTGAGGCTAATGATGGGGACCACCCAAACCTCTGGGGTTCAGCTTCCCCAACAGTCAAAAGCGCAGAGCACCCCACGATTTACATCTTATGTCGAGTACCTCAACACATGCCAGGCAGCCCCCAACTCTGGCGAAGCAACTGTGGTTTTATAAACGGTACTGAACAAAATTCTCCAGTCAGCTGGCCCTGGACCTCAGAGAAACGGAATTAAGGTCCCATACCACACCCAGCTGCTAGCTGAAGGGCTGGAGGTTCTTGTTTACCCAGAGGTACCTCACAAGAAAGGCCTGGCAACCTGCTTCCGAATGCTGAACCTGCAAACCCAGCACAGCGGTTCCACTTTAACACATGAGGCATTTTGGAGTTGAGGCTCCATGGGGAACCAGCAGCCAGGCTCCCCACCACCTCAAGGTGTGCACAGGGTCGGCCCACTGGAACCCTGGAGCTGCAGGAAGACTGTGTGGCCCAGAAAGGCCAGGTCCAGTCCCCACCTGGGAACCCTGTTTGGAGATGGACTCTTTGCAGACAGCAACAGGTGGTGTCACTGAATTGGAAGGGGATTACTGAGCCCCAATGACAGGCGTCCTGGGCCATGCCCACCTGCACATCACTGGAGGTGGAAGGCAGCATCGCTACCCACATGCTCTGGATGTAGGGTGCCACTCACCTCCAAGGCTGGGACCCAGGAATGTGGACGAAGAGAGGTTGCTATGGGTCTCGCTGAAGTGGGCACCGTCGCCGTAGGTCTGCCGAGAGGGGAGACGGGGAGACGGGGTTGACGGATGCCGGGGACCCGGGACCTGCCCCCCTGGGTTTACAGTTGGGCTGAGGCTCGGGGAGGCAGGGATCTGACTCCCCCCTTCTGAGCCTACTTCCCCACTCAGGGAAGCCTAGGTCCAGAACCTCGAAGGGCTCCTCACCCGGCTGGGGTCGAAGGAGGAACTGTTGTGATCACCAGCAGCCCAGGAGCCCGAGCCGGGCCGTTCCTCAAGGCCTATGGAGGAGGGGAGAGGAAGGACAGTCAGGAATCACCACATCCCTGTCCACTTGAGGACCCAGTCGAGGACCTCATGTAGCTGCAGGTTCTTAGCTAAGAACACTCTTCTATCAGCTAGCTCTGCTGGCAAACTCCTACCCATCCAGCAAAGCCCCAGCCACTATGCCCACACAAAGCCTCCTCCCCCCAACCCTCACCACATGGGACTGGCAGTCCTAACGTAGGCTCAGTGGGGTGACAGGTGACAAGATGTGACCGCAGGAAGGAGACCACCTCTTTCTCCCAGCAATGCCAATGTGATTTCCCAAATCATAGATCAGTGACCCAGCTGCTGGGAAGTGGGCCCTACCTCCTGGTGACCCCGTGTGTGTCAAGAATACTGATCAAGGTTTTCAACAGCTGACGTTTGGGGAAGGAGACGGCCAGACCTTCCTTACAAGTTGCCTTTGGGTGGACTGGATCCACGAGGCTTTTGGTGAGCAGCTGAACACTTAACCATTGGCACCGCTGACTGCTCACCAGGGTTAACTGGAGGCCAGGCAGTAAGCAATGTGGAGAAGAGGACTTTGGTCCCAGGAGGGTGGCGGGACAGGGCGGGGCCGTTCCTTATCTCTCTGCACACCCTAACAGACAACGGCCCGTGCGCGCTCTCGGAGTCCCCACCCTCCTCCCCAGAGTCCCCGCCGCCAGGCCACAGGGCTCTGCAAAATGAGGTGACACACTGACCCCCAGCCTGCAGCCCAGGGGGTGTCCACATCCAGTCTGAATCCCACCCGAGGCTCCCACCTGGATGCCACTGTAAGATCACTCCCCACCGGCACCCTCCCAGCTCTTTCTACTCTGAGCTGCCAGAAACTTCTTTCAAAGGGCATCCTTCTATTTCCGTGCCTTTGTGGTAATCATTCCCCCCCAGAGGATCAGGGCTTAATTGCTGTCTAATTTGCATAATTATGCATATTAATCTCCTGTTCTGATGAATATTCATGTATCTCATTTAGATTTTGTTTCCTAATCAAAATTTCCAACAAGACTGGGGCAGGGGGCTAGAAGGCTGCCTTGGTGGATAGGGGGACTCTCTTGTGGTTGTGGTCCCCCCAGTATTGCCACAGATTCTGAGATCTGTGCCCTGGGATTTCCGTGCTCAATTTCTGGCAAGAGGGTGGTGGGGAATGGAGGGCTGCAGCATGACCTTGAGCCTCAGTTTCCCTCCTGGTCTACACTCTTGGCTAGGTGTTCTCCCTACAGTGGGCCCCCCACGGAGGGACCAGGGTTCTAGGTGTCAGCCACCAAGGTCACAGCCACAGCACTAGGAGCCAGCACTCGAACCTGGCACCCAGAGCCCGTCAGCACACGGCAGCCTCAGGAGAAGATACTAAAGCCCCGAGTCTGTGCTTCCCAGGAAAGCCCGCCTCCTTCCAGCAAAGACAAAAATAGGGACCAGCCCTTCCCCCACTACTATTAATACCGTTATTAACCCCCCCACCGATTAATTATGCATCTTAATAACCCACTATGAATATTCATAGCACAGTCCCGCGCCTGTTCTAATTAAAACGAACTAATAGAATAAAACGCTGCTGTCCGAATGCCATTTCTTTCTTTCTTTGGGTAAAAAAAAAAAAAAAATGCTGGAAGTGAGTTCCTGCTGAGGATACCCTAGAGGTTCCTGGGGTCCAGAGCCTCCCTGGGCCAAGCAGCCTTGGACTCGGGGCCCTGTGGACCTGGAGACCCCCTGGAAGCTTTAGTTCCACTTAGTCACCCAGGGCTGACAAGACCACTTGTGTGGGACCCTGGGCTCAGCTTTGCTCCGCACCCAGTTTGCAAATGAGGAATAGGACTGAAAGTAGAAGGTGCTCAGTAAACAAAGGTCTGACTAAATACTACCTACTACCTCCCATGGGCTCAATTCAAAACCCAGCCCATTTGTTTTTGTGAATAAAGTTTTATTAGCACATAGCCACACCCATAGTTCTGATAAAGACTGGTAGGCACCCGAAACTGAACATTCCCACTTCCTCTGGTCCTTTCTACAGAAAGTCACTTGTCCCCAATCTGGAGGAAGATGGTCCAGGGCCATTTCTTCCAGGGCCTCCATGTGGAGCCTGGTCAGCCAGTTCCCCACAGCCTACACCAGGTGGCCTCAGCATCCAGCAACTTCCTCCAGGGTACCATCCTGTCACCTGGCACTCTGATGGAACTTTTAGACACAAAGCCAGGATCACCTCCTCCCACACCTCCCATGGATCCCTTACTGCCCTCAGTGAATAAAGCTCCACAAAGAGAGACCATCTCTCCCTCCCTGGGTCTCCCATCTTGCAGCCCCGCCCCCTAGTGGAGCTCTGTCTGGGGAGAGAGGGTTTCTTGTTCTGGTCTCAGGACCCAGGTCCCCTCCCAGCCTGGGTCCCTCTCTCTGTCCCCAGCAATGCTGGGCCCCAAGGCCACTGTGAACTTTTCCACTTCTTATTTCTCCAATAGGACATGAACGGTACGGTCTCCACCGGCGCAATCTAATAAAGCACCGCCAACCACAAACAGCCACCAATGGCTTCCAATGGGGCTGGTGTGTGGCCGGGATTGTTAACTAACTGAGCGGTTCACGTAACTCAGGGAGCCCCCAGGCTGGCGTCACTGCACAGAGCAGCGCGAGTGAAGGACAAGAGTCACAACCCCAGACGTCCTCACCCTACCTGTGTCAGGGTGCCAACCTGGGGAGGCTGGTGTGCTGCCAAGATGTGAAAACAGGGTCGCCCCCGATGGGCAGCTTTCAGCACAGCGTCCCGACTAAGAGAGACCAGGAAGACAGACCTGGTGTCCGACTGCCAACGCCTGGAATTGCCATGGTGCTGGCTGGGGTAAAAGTCAAGGGCAGATACACACAGAAAACCAAGTTCTGTGCCGGTCACCAGAAAGGGGTGGGCGAGAATTGAAGACCCTCGTTACTTCCCGGGCCTGGAAAAGCAATCTCAAATTCGGGTGAAGTCGGCGCAGCTCAAGGAGTCCTGGTGTGGTGCTGCAGGTTAATGCTCTGGACCGCAAGGGCAGTGTGAACCACAAGGCTGGTGGTTCCAGCTCCCCAGTCACTGCTCAGAAACAGGAGTCGCTATGGGTCAGAACTAACAACATTTAACAACAGCGCTACTTGGCCAAGGTATAAAAACACGGCGAAGTTCAGGGGACAAAGGGATACTTTCCGTCAGCGCTACAACACACACAGTTTAGCAACAGCAGTAAAAACAACGAAAATACAGATGTTCGATCGATCACCTGTGAAAGTACACACGTGCACGCCAGTACATGTAAACACCCGGACAGCTGGTGCCGCCAAGTCAGCTCCAGGTCACACTGCTCCAGGTACACCAGAAGCCAGCACCGCACAGCCCTGTGCAGCCTCCTCACTACTGTTCCTAGGTTTGAGGCCCTGGTGACGATCCATGCCGCTGGGGGTCATCCTCTTTCATGCCAACATCCACGTTACCACACATGAAGTCCTTCTCCAGGGACTGGTCCCTTTTGCTAACACGTCTGAAGTAAGAGAGATGAAGGCTTCCCCCCTCCTCGTTTTGGAGGAGAATTCTGGCTGTACTAAAGACAGATTTGTTCTCTGGAGCTCCATGGTACCTCCAATACTCCTCACCGTCACTGCAGCTAAGGGCTTCCTTACGCACCGTCCAACTTTCACGTGCATACGAGGCTCTTGAAGATGGCTTGGGTCAGGCACACCTTAGTCCTCAAGTCGACATCTATGTCCAAGGAGGTATATAACTGTACCATCCACATACACTCGTCTGGACACCTTGCAAACAATCCACATATACAAAGGAGCTTCCAAATGTTCCATTATCTTTTGTTTTTCCACAAACGTCTGTCCCCTTGTAAACTGAACACACTGGGGGGGGAGTTCCAGGAAAACCCTCCAAATGTGCCCCATTGCCACGGGCTCCCTCTGAGCAAGGTAATTAATCTGAAGTTGAATGGAAAGGAGAATGGAGGGGAGGGAAACCCCACTCTTCCTAATAGTGGGGAGCCCCGTGGCCCTCAACATGGCTGGAGAGTCCCTCACCAGAGGTGTTGTGTGGGCATCCACCGGAAACCTGGGGTTCCTCTCTTGAACCCTTGGGGAAGTACCTTCTGAGCGGCCCAGGGGAAAAGGTGCAACAAACACAGAAACGGTAACTGACAGGCTCCCCTGATCAGAGGTCCTCCCCCCTCCTGACCCCCTTGTCCCATGAATTTCAGTTAAGGGGTCAAAGTGATAGCAGAAAAGATCCCTAACTTTACTACTAAGGAGGGAGGTCCATGTGGTACCCGAGTGTGGAGACTAAAGACCAAACCCCTCCAAAGGTCGATTATTCCCTGAAGATGAGCCAAGAAGCCAACCGAACCTCCCTGTGAGGAATACCTGCAAGAGGAGAACCCATGAGAAATACAAAGACGGAAACAGTGAGGGGTTTGCGGGTGATGGCTGATGGGTGAGTCAGAGAGTGAGCCAATGGAACTGAATTATAGATGCCATTATACCAGTAACCACGGAGCTCTGGTAGCGTAGTGCTTATGAATTGGGCTGCAAACTGCAAGGTCAGCAGTTCGAAACTACCAGCCGCTCCTTGGGAGGAAGGGCTCCTGTAAAGATTTACAGCCTCGAAAACCCTGCACAGGGTCGCCATGGGTCGGAACCGACTCCACGGCACATAACTAACTACCACCACTACTACACCAGTAACGAGTCCTGTGTGGCACCGCAGGTTAATGTGCTGCACTGCAAAGTCAATTTGAACCACAAAGTTGGTGGTTCAAGGTCATCAGCTGCTTCTCAGAAATCCTATATAGAGGGTCACTATGGGTCAGAACCAACTTGATGGTACTTCACAACAACAGCCACATTGTCCTGGGTGCTCTGTGTGCTTGATCTCATGGCCACCAGTAATGTCCCCATTTCACAGGTGGGGAGACCGAAGAAGCATTTGGGGGTGGGGGTGGGGGGGAGGAAAGGCAAGCCA